CCACTTGGAGGATGTCCTCGGGAGGTTGCGTGCCGCCGGGTTGACTTTGAACCCGAAGAAACCTGAACTAGCTGAGACTCGCAACTCACTGTTAGGCTTTACCATTCAGAGTGGTCGTGTTCTGCCGTGCGAGGAGAAGGTACGAGCCACTGTGAAGTACCCGACGCCGGCAAACATTGAAGGCCTGAGGTGCTTTTTGGGCATGGTGAACTAGTATCGACAGTTCATCCCAAACTGTGCGGCCCTCCAAGCGCCCTTGACTGCACTCTTGAAAAAGTCGGCATGATGCAGCTGGGGGCCTGAACAAGAGCGATCCTTCAGGGCGCTTTCCGAAGCTCTAGTGGCCAGAGCCGAGTTAAAGCTGCCAGACCTGAACAGGGAGTTCGTTGTCCAAGCGGACAGCGAGCGACCTGGGTCTCGGCGCGGTACTACTTCAGGAGCACGACGGCGTCCTCCGGCCAGTCGCCTTTGCGAGCCGGTCTCTTAACGCCGCCGAGCGTAACTATAGCGTCGCAGAAAGGGAATGTCTCGCTATAGCTTCTGCTCTCCGGAAGTTCGACTGCTATGTCGACGGCGTGCCATTCGTGGTGGAAACGGATCACATGGCACTCACCTGGCTTAAGCGCGTGCGCGAGCCCTCGGGCTGCCTCGCGCGCTGGCCGTTGACCTTGCAACGGTACAACTTTGTTGTGCGCTACGGGAAAGAGTTCGAACGTCGTGGCTGATGCTTTGTCGCGTGCCCCCGTTTTGGCGTCCGGCACTTGTGTCCGCCACTCCCGAGAGTAGTCGCATCAAGTAGATCCTGGGCCCTCTGGCTTCAAAAGGTCGAAAGGCGCGAACCCCGATGGCGAAGTGATTTTCGAGTCGACAGCCTCGGGTGAGGACGTATACCTGGTAGACCCTGTCACGTCCACCAGTATCGTCTTTAGCAGAGAAGAGCTGCTCAAGGCACAGCAGGACGATCCGTTTTGTCAACACATCGTTGACGAGCTCAAAGAGCTGAGCTCTCAAGCGGAGCGGGGCGGTCCAGCCACCGGGCGCGAACAAACAGCTGGTATTGCTGTCGGCGCCGAGTGCCGTACGCAGGCTGGTATTGCTGCGGGCACGTTGGACTCGTACCTGCTTGATGCCGACTGCGTTCTCCTGTGCTACGTCCCATCTGAAGAAGCTCCCCAGGAGTCTTTCAAGGTGGTTATACCCCGCTGTCTATGGAAAGCCACCCTAGGTTATTTCCACGACTCGCGGTTGGCCGAACACGCGAGTGGCCTTAAGACTTTCCAAAAGTTGTGCCGCTCCGCTACCTGGCCTGGCATGAAGCGCGATGCCCTTCACTACGCCTGCTCATGCCGCATGTGCCAATGCGTGAAGCCTCGCGGGGGCAAGCCTCCCGGGCTCATGCAGCCGATCGACAGGCAACAACCTTGGCAGGTCGTGGCCTGTGACATTATGGGACCTTTCCCAAGAAGCCGGAGAGGCCATGTTTTTCTCCTGGCTGTCACAGATCACTTCACAAAGTGGGTCGAACTGTTTCCCCTTCGGAAGTTAATGGCACGCGTAATCTGGGACAAGTTGACCGAGTTCTTTACCCGCTTTGGTTTTCCGGCGGAGTTGATCACGGACAATGCGTCCTATTTCACGGCAAAGGTGTTTGTGGATGCGTGTGCTGCCTTTGGCATTAAGCACCATAAAATAACCACGTATCACCCACAGGCCAATCCGACCGAGTGGATCAACCGAAACCTCAAGCCCTTGCTGACAGCCTTTGCGCAGCTACACAGGGATTGGGATGCTTGTCTTAACGAGATCGGCTTCTCCTTGCGGTCTACGGTCAATCGCTCGACAGGGTACACGCCCGCTTTCCTCAACTTTGGGCTGCCTATCTCCATGGACCGCGTTCTACGGGGCGGCGGCGGGGCAAGCGCCGCGAAGGTCAGCCCGTCTGGCTACGCGGCGGAACTGCGCTCACGGATGTACGCGGCTCTCGACCTGGCACGTTCCAACCTAGCAAAAGTGCGAGCTGTTCAGAAGGCTCAATACGACCGGTCGCATCGGGATGTCCGTTACATGTCGGTGATCTCGTCCTCAGGCGCGATCACGTCTTGAGTGACGCCGCCAAAGGCATCTCGGCCTCCTTTTCGGCCAAGTGGTTGGGCCCATACCGAGTGCACACCAAAGTGTCGCCCCTGGTATACAAGCTGGCTGACTCCCAAGGGAGACCACTAGGCGGTCCAGTAAACGTCTCCGACCTCAAACCTTTCGTTGCCCGCAGCAACGACTTCCGGGAGGGGGAGGCGGTCACCGAACCGCAGGGAAACCGGGATAAGGCTGGTTCCAAACCACGCCACCGGTACTACCTGCGAAAACGCACTTAGGCTGACTTTCGCCTCCGGCATGTAGTGGGACGTTATCCCCTCCATGTAAGGGAGTGGAGACTTATAGCTGCTGTGCGAGAGCCCATCCAGCAGCAACAGTAACGGCCACCTGGCGAGCTTTCTCCCTGGGAACACCATTACACGCGCTGCGCGCGGAATATCCACCCAGTTCTCAGCGCTCCCGGCTGCTCGAGAGAGAAAAGTTCTTTCCCCGGTGGCTCACTCTCTCACTGGGTGTCTTCCGCGTAGTCGGCGGGAGAAGGTAAGCGTGCGCCCTATTGGCTCACGCAGCCTTCAATCCGACGGAGTAGGCTCTCTTTATTGGGCCAGCCTGTCACGCTTCCGGGGCCGCACCTTCAGTTGCGTTTCGGCTTTTCACCGAAACCCCAGCTTTCGTTATGTCCTCCTCGATGACCCGTTCTTCCAAGAAAAAGCCCGGGAGACCAGCCGCGCGCTCGGTCGTTCCGCAGGCACCGGCCGCGTCCATGCCGCCTCCGTCGAATGCTCCCCCAGCTCCGGCTAACAAGACACCGTCTCGTCGTGAAGCCGCTACGTGGACGTTCCAACATGGCACTGAGGCCCCGGTCGCCTTCGTGTCGACTCATCGCTGGTCCAAGCAACGCAAAGTCATGGTGGGGTTAGTTAGATCCCGAGTCCGTCTTGCGTCCTTTCTGCGGACGCACCCTTTCGGACCTGCTCGACGCTTCCGGAGGTGCCTCGATGCCGCCTGTTCCTGAGGCCTCCTACTGCGACGCTTGTGGTGTCCTGCTGGTGCACGAGGTTACCCACTTCCGTTCGCGGGTTCACCGAGCGAAGTCCGGCGGGACCCTGTGGCACTGTCCACTCCGGCGGTGCCGCATGGCCCGGGTCTTCGACCCGCCCTGTCGACCGACTCCGTTCAGGTGGTCGTGGCGGCGCTCGTCACGGACTCTTCATTCAAGTCGGCCATCGCTACCGCGGTGTCTGCTGCCCTCACGCGGCCCCAGGTTCCCGCTGAGACGCCGCGGAACGAAGACACAGGGGCCCCCGTCGATCTCGTGGATGGCACTGAGCTGGGCCCCAGTTTTTTCGGTGTTGGTGGATGCTTTTATTACGGCGTCTTTAGAGCGGCCTCGGTCTTAGGAGGGGGGGGGGTGTGGGAATCGATAGCGTCCTCCTACCTGGCGCCTCGTTTCCGAGCTTCCACGCGCGCGCTGGCGGCGTAGCTTGGGCGCGCATAAGCGCCGGCATCCGCCAAGATGGCTGCCAGGGCGCCTTTTGGTCTGGGCGAGTCAAGCGTCGGCTCCGTCCCGCGCTGGCATGTCCGGGCACGCTACGCTGGCACGCTGCGTGGGCCTACGTCACAACGCAGTGCCATTTTTCTTTGAGCCGTGCGTGACATCCTTCTTTCCTACGAATATGTTGCGCCCGACGATTCGCTCGTCGCGGCAGATGCTCTCAGGCCTCCACGAGGGGTTGACGCGCTGCTCAGCAGGCGGCTCCTCGTTCGTGCGTTCGACTTCGGCCCTTGTGCGGGAGTCATCCCTAGGCAAGCGTACTTGCTTGGTCTTGCGGAGTACTCTATACTGCCTGCAAGCCCGTGAGTGTCGCACTGTGCTGCATCTTGAGTTAATAAACCCGTTGTTCTTGTTTTCCTGCCTCGTGCGTGGTTTCTGCGCCGTGTCTGTCGGAGAAATCGACGAACCCGGCCGCAGCGTCGTCGCACGCAGCGGCAGTGTAGGACGTCGCATCCCTACACGGTTGCGCTTAGTAGGTAAGCCTAGTGCAAACCTATCTCCACAACATTTAGGCAAAAGCAAACCATATTGCTTTCAACGTACAGATTTTGCGCCACTGTTTTATGAGTTCATTATTAATTGCTGAAATATTTGGAGGTGTCCTTGTTAATGTAGCAGTTCGAAATTCTTTTTGTCATAAAGTGCAAGTTTTATTATTTTTCTGGCCTATTATCATGGGAGGTGTCCTTATGGTTTCTAACCTTCTGCAAATTTACATGTATTGTATGCTTTCATTACATTACCATTAAAGATTCATCGATAGGATACACCAGAGCACACGAATGCCAACCTGTGATTGACCCGCCACGGTGGCTAAGGTACTCGGCTGTTGACCCGCAAGCGGGAAACGAATCCTGGCTGCAGCGGCCGAACTTTTTATTCAGGCAAAAATGCTTGAGGCCCGTGTGCTTAGATTTAGGTGGATGGTAAAAAACCCTAGGCGGTCGGAATTTCCGGAGCCTTCTACTACGGAGTGTCTCATAATCGTATGGTGGTTTCGGGATGTTAAACGCCAACAATTGTTAATATTAGCAGCCTGTGATTGCCTTTATTAGACACTGTTGTCTGGAACTCTGTAGAAAACATTTTCACTTGGGTAAGTAGTGTACATTCAAGTGCACAAATTGCATGCAGTAAACTGCTCTATCTCCTAATTTCAAAAATAAAGTTTCACCATTGTTATAAAGAAATCCATTGTTGGTACTCGGAAGGATTGCGTACGCCTCTAAAAGTGCATTATAGCGTCAGTGGCATTGGCTGTATACAGCCAGCGTAAGGCATGTCGTTAAAACAGCGAAAGTAATAATATTTTGTTCAGAGGATGAACAAACATAAGGGGGTGATTTTCCAGAAATGCGGGCGAGACAACGAGAGTGAGCAGCGCAAGTTCAGCCTGGACCCACAGATTACCTCTTTCGAGGTGCTGCAAAGCCTCCTGGCCAGGGCATTTGACATCCGAGGGTGAGTTCCTCTTTTTGCTGCTACATGAGTGGCCGGTTTTTTTCATAGCTTTAAACTGCCGTGATCTCCATTCATGATGTGAATGCCATAAGTAACTTTCATTATCGTTTTCCTCCGGGGTCGACAAGTGCGTTAACATAGCTTGCTGAAGAATAGGAATACGAAGGTAAGACAACACTTGAACTAGAATATAATCCTATACATGATGCCCGTATAGGCGGAATAAACATGTAATGTTTATTTATTTGCTATCAAATTACGTAGTCGGTTCTGCAACAACAACTGAAATTAACTTCATGTCTGTACTCCTAAAAAAGTTAGTAAAAAGGTAGCAACTGCAAGCAAATAGGTAATAACTGCAGCGGTTACTACCTTTCCTTGACCGTTGTTTTGCTACCAGTTTACTGCCTACGTTAGTGAACGGTTGATATCTGCAACCATTACTTTTTGCGGCCTCTTTACTACCTACATTTGTAAACAGTTAGGAACTGAAATGAAAAAGGTAGTAACTGCAGCCGTTACTACCTTTCTTGCCACGTTACTACCTCTTTGCTACTCCGCTTTTGACTATCTATTCTAATATAGTGTGTGACTGTGATTCTCATAATTTATGAAAGGAATCGTCTCGACGTATCATCAATACACGGAAAAATGACGCAGAAGGTATCCATAGATCAAGAAAATACATTTTCTTTAAATTACGCAACCGAGGTATATATGTAAACGTCATTCTGATATTTCGAAACGAAGAAGTACAAGTTAGCGAATCCATAAGCAAGTGCTACACGTATTGTAATAGACAATCACAACAAACTAAGTAAAAACAGCACATATTAACAAGACCGGCAGATCAAAATAACTAGATGGTCACAATTAGCCTCGAGGGCAGTCACACGTAATCCACTGCGGCGTGTATCCAAATATTATAATTGTTTTGGCGCGTCGAACCCCCAAAATGATTATTACCTTTTAAACGCTGATATATTAGCCGTGTGAAGAATTCAAATGCCCTGACAATGAGTTCTGTACATTGCACCGGCCACTGTGGATAATGACTTTTTGTGGCCTTTTTATAATAGATAAAAATGTGATATATTTTTTCATAAGTAAGGCTAAATAAAAGTATTGTGCTACGTCACCAAACACACGTAACCAGGTAGTAAAATATAGTGTTATAGGTTTGAATTTGTTATAATTCATCCTGAAACGCAAGTGCTCCCCTGTGCCAGGCATGCCCCTGCAAAGTAGGGGCTATATATGCCCCACGCTTACCTCATACTAAATGTATACGTAAAAAATAGTGAACTTGTTTGGTCTATGCATTCTTCGCAGTCATGGCACACCACGCTTCTTATTCGAATATGTCTAGTTGTAAGACATTGGATACCTAACATTAGCAGTGGAGAAATGATAGGCTGAACTAAATGACGTAGTATCGGTTACTACTTTTTTTTTCTTAAAACCTTTAAAAGGTACTACCAATGAGTGGTAATGGCTAGGGTAGTAACAGTTACTAACTGCTGGTAGTAACAGCAGAGGTAGTAACTGTTATCACCCTCGCCGTTACTAACTGCACTTACTACCAGGGTTGTAACATATGTGACAAACCATTACTACCCCAAAGTTAGCAAGTACTACCACCTTTTTTCTAAGAGTGTGGTTGTTTTGCAAAGCAGTCTCCATTCATACCAAGATATGATCTCCATTCATGGAGAGGGTTGGTATGCATTGAGATCTTCTTTTTCACTGTGGCCTTATCAACACTGATCAAGCGCTAATCAAGTACTCCTATTACGGAAGTTTCATTCCAAATGCGCCAATATATAAGGTTCTCAAAAGTATAGGTAGATACATCGTGCAGTCCACGCGAGTGATTCTCTACGCTGTATTTTTTTTTGCTTTCAGCCAAGCGTTGCAAGATATATTTGACGTGTTTTTCTAATTTGGGTAGCTCTGTGCGCATCATGGTGTCATGAGTAAAGGGACATGAGGCACGCGACCGGTAACGTAATGTTTCGGTGGTGTGCGAGAGGTGGAAAATTCCTCGATGGTACAGTGTAGACCGCTTATAACGCAAGTCACGGGAGTTGTTAAAGTCCGCGCTATAAGCGGTACCGTGTTATAACCAAAGCATGCTTTTTTCGGCCTTTGCCTATGTCGAAGGGGCAACCCACCTTTCAAAAGCAATTTACTACACTTTTCACTCGCAGACACATTCAACACAATCACAACACCGCACGCAAACAAAGTTCTCAAGTGCGGCATCAGCGGAAGAACGCCGTTATTTTCGTCTGGCGATGCTTGCGAACAGCGCTGCGAACAATTTCGTCCTCCACAAAGCTTAAGCACTGAAGTGATTTCTCGCTCAAACTGTTTTTCGCGCAGTACGTTTTCACTTTGGCGAGATATTCCAATGCGTCTTTGCACGGGAAATCTGGTTCTGACGTCGGGTCGACATCGTCTTCGCCGTCCGACTCGTCGTTCGTTGCAACTTCCGCACTACCGCGCACCGCTGCGACGATCGCGTCATATGTGCTCGCTTCCTCGCATACAGAAATCTCCGACTCCCCGGCATCGACAAATTCTTGGAAAGTGTCGGTGGTGGTTACAAAGTTGCTGTCAACGAGGCAGGACCACACGTCGTCAGTGTTGATGGTCTCATCGGCGAGCGACGTGTCGCTCTGCTCATCGTCTTCCAGAGCCTCTGCATTGCGCACGAAGCCTGTCCTCTTGAAACGCTCGCTTATAGTATCGGCTTTTACCTGCCACCATGAAGCGGCCACCATGTCAATTGCGCCTCTTAAGTTCACTTTAAGAGGCTGCTGCTGCTGCATGCTCAGCAAAACTCTCTCGCAAATGCGCTTTTTGTACAGCACCTTTACGGTTGCGATGACACCCTGGTCGAGAGGTTGACTTTTTGCTGTAGTGTTGGCAGGCAAAAACTTTAGGTTGACTGCGGTCAACTTCGGCTTGACGTTGTGGGCCGTGCAGTTGTCGAGGATAAGCACGACCCGCCGCTTCTCTGCCACCATATCCTCATCAAACTTGCAAAGCCAGCTGGTGAACAAATCCTGCGTCATCCACGCCTTTTTATTGGCTTTGTAGGTCACTGGCAGGCACTCTCGCTTTTTAAAGCAACGTGGCCTTGCCGATTTACCTATGACAAAGAGGCGGCGCCTGTCGCTCCCGCCCAAATTAGCGCAAAACAACACAGTTATGCGCTCCTTTGAGACCTTGCGACCGGAGCAGGCTTCGCCTTTCAGCGCAAGCGTGCGGTTGGGCAAAAGTTTATAAAATAAACCAGCTTCATCGGCATTATAAGTGTCTTTGTCAGTATAGGTCGACAGCATACTCTCCAAGTTCAAGCGAAGCCAGACTTCGATAGACTCGTCGTCGACAGCGCCGCTTTCTCCGCACACCACTTTGCAGCTGATGCTATGGCGATCTTTGAAACGCTGAATCCACCCGTTGAGTGGATTGAAGTCGTCGTGGCCTAAAAGAGCTCTGAGACACTTGGCCTTTTGTTGGAGCATGGGGCCACTTACTGGGATGCTCTGAGCCCTAACTTCGCGGAACCACCTGAACAGCGCTGCGTCCACGTCTTCGTATTTTGACGTACGTATTCTCTTCTGTGACAGGGAAGACGAAACTTGCTGCAGTTGCTGCCGCAGTTTGTCCTTGTTTTTCTAGATGGTCGACATGGTCGTGTCGAAAACGCCGTATTTCGCCGCCACTGACGCCTTCTTCAGGCCACTCTCAATGTCCCTTATGACGCATTATTTAATCTCCAGTGATAAGGTACGGCGTTTTTTCACACCGCTTGAAGACGCCGCCGACGCCATGGCGACAGGAGCCACGCAACACACGTGCTCTGGGCTCTCAGACGACAACGACATGGCAAAGCCCACACAGCAAATCCAAAGAGGCAAAAGAAGGAGGTTGAGGAAAAAAAAAAAAGCATGCTACCGCTTCTCTCCCCCACTCCGCGCAGCGCGCACCCGGATTGGACGCTGCCACGGTCGCCACGGTGACGAAAACACTCTCCCTCCTTCCAAGGTCTCCCCGACCCCCTCCCTACCAGGCACTGCGCCGTGCTCCCGACCGGGTTGCAGAAATTAGGTGCCTTTTCTCATCTTCTAACCACTACCACCACCACTCCCTCCCTACTGTACCCTCTCTTCTCCTCCGCAATGTTTGACTTTTCGCGCTGGTCTCCACGTGCGCCCTCCCGCACACACTCCCAACGTTCCGGCGCGCCGGGAACGACGCCGGGAAACCGTGCTGACCGTGCTCCGTTCGCCGATTTTATGGTCGCGCGCCTAAAAACTCCGCGCTATAACCGGTATTCTCCTTCGCGCGCCTACGCAATAAACGGTCGGCCTAGACATTGAGTTCTATGGGCGACATATCGGCGGTGAAAAAAAAAAACCCACGTTATAACCGGTCCCGCGCAAAAAGCGGTTACGTTATAAGTAGTCTGCACTGTATACGCGCCCCTGCCGCGCTCGCGATTTGCCCGTGCAGCGACCCGAGCCGTCGTGAGCCGTCGCAAATGACTGGCATGGAACGTGAATAGACAGAAGTAGGGTTACTGTATATGCTACCGTAGGTAGCAGAGTTGCGCATAGGTCCGCCATCTTGCCCTCTGGCGCGTCTATGTTAAGCAGGAAAGCTACCCCTGTGGAATGTAAAAGCCTACGCGGCCCAGCGGCTCCGTGTGCTTTCTCAGTGTACGCTCGTTCATAACGCGTCGCTGACGCTGGCCCATAGTTAAAGGGAAGGGGGGCTCTTTCCCGAAACTCTGGGTACGTGTACTTTACTGAAAATGACTCGTACAAATGAGTGTTTTTCATGGTCTTCAGCAAGTCGGCCCCCTACCCCCGCGAAAAAAAAATACTGCATATATATAGGCCGGCCCTTGCACAATGACTCTCCTTACAAGAAGAAAAAAAAAACTCAAGACAGAGAGCAGGAAACACCACCGCAACACCGACAAACAA